AGGACAGCCAAGGCTACACAGAAAAACTCTTTCTTGAAAAATCAAAGAAGAATAAGAAGAAGGAAAGGGGGAGGAAAAGGAGGAAAAACTGGTGCCTGGCATGATGGTGCACACCTTAATCCCAGCACTCTGGAGGCAGAGGCATGCATGAATGTGAGGTTTACATAGTGAGTTCCAGGCCAGGCAGAGATACACACTGAGACCCTGTCACCAAACTATGGCTCATTTATTCAACTAATATGGCAATGTAACAGAGATTTTTTTTAAATGTATATTTTTTTAGTATAGCGGGGAAGAACACTCACACAAAATCATCATAAAGTGTATCACCTTTATGGGGGGAGGCAGGTAATTATGGAAGAACATAGCAGGATTAGCATTCCTGCCTAGCAAGCCAAGGATGCTTCTCCTAGAAGTAGTATCTGTATCAAAAGGATGGGGTCAAGACTGGATAGAAGGTTCAGTGGTTAAGAGCACTAGCTGCTCTCCCAGAGGACCTAGGTTTGATTCCCAGCAACCACATGGTTGCTTAAAACTTTAACTCCAGTTCTAGGGGAGCCTCTGATACTACATGTACACAGCACACAGACATGCAGGCAAAATACACACACACACACACACACACACACAAATACATACATATATATATATAACTTTTTTTTTAAGAAAGGATGAGTTAACAGCTAAAAGAAGGCATGTCATACAGTGCAGTAGAAGTAAAAAGGCAATTCAGCTAAACTGTACTGTACAACATCACAGCAAGAATATAACGTAAGGCAATGAGGACATCTGCTGGGGCACAAGTCTAAATTTAATCCTAGCACTCAAACCTTAGAGGCATAAAGATCTGAGTTCAAGGGCAGCTCGGTCTACATGGTGAGTTACACACTGGCCAGGACTACATACTGAGACCCTTCCTAAAACAAAAACAAACAAACATTATAAAGAATTATGATTTACAAGACTGGAGGATGGAGGTCAGCTGATGAACATAGAATGAAATATTAAGGATTTTAGACTTTGTGTAAGGGCACTGTTAAGCAGAAATCTCAATGAACTTCAGTGTGGAACAAAATAAGATTGGAATCTGGGAGATCAGTAGGTTAAGTTGCTGAAGAAACAAAGTGAGTATCAGAAAAAAGACTCCTGGGATTCTGGCTTCCATACCTACATGGACATTCTTATGTATGCATGCATGTATGTACACTCACACACACACATGCATATGCACACACTCTCACTACTGATGAGCCAGACAGTGATTTTAGGCAAGAACAGAGAAAACCTATATTATCCTATGAGTCTCCAATTCAAGCCAGTGGCAAAGCAGCTTATACTTTGCTCCTTATGAATTTCTCCAGGTTCTCCTGGTCTCAATGTGGTGGTGCCTAGAGGACATTTAATAAACATTCCACCTCACCCTTCTCTTATACATGAATTGCTGTCTTGGATAAGTTTTTAAAGCCACTGACTTTAGTGAATTCATCTCAAGTATAACCCACTTTCTCCCATCAAACTGAAAGTCAGCATTTTTAAACTGAACATAATTTTTTAAATTTAAAAGTTATGTCTACACTTTTGTGTGCATCTACACACATATATTCACAAGCAGTTAAGATAATGTATTCATGTGTGTGAGAAAAATATAAATAACATGTTAGAAAGAAGGGTCTAGAAATATCTATAGACCTTTTATATTCTTTTCATTTTTTTTGAGACAGGGTTTCTGCGTGTAACCCTGGCTGTCCTAGAACTAACTCTGTATACCAGGCTGGCCTCAGACTCAGAGATATACCTGATATACCTGCCTCTGCCTGGGACTAAAGGCATGTGCCACCATCCCCTAGCTCATGCTCACTCTTTGTTCAAAAATAGATGAGAAATCATTTTGGACATACTACACTAGTATGCTTTTTTGAACATGGAGGTGTAACCATCAACTTGATATGAATGGGACTTCAGAGAACAAGACAAGGTCAGGGATACATATTTAGCAGCTAAGAAAACACAAAGAGCAAGTGAAACCAGAGTACTCTTCAGAATCTACAGTTCCTGTTGGTGGGGCACAGACAAAGGGGAAGTTGGGGACAGACATGCTGGCTCTCTTAGCTGATTTTAGGGCAAAAGGCCAAGCAGAAACCTTTCTTTCACTTCCCTACCACAATAAAGCCTGTCTCGTCGTTTCTTTGCTATCAACCTAGTTCACACTCTCTTCAAAGTATGCTTCCACCTGCATACAGGTGCTATCTTCCACAACACAAATGGTGAAGGATCCAAAATCAACCACCCTCAGATGAGGACCTTCACACATAACATTCTGGAAAATCCTGTGAAAGCCAAAAGGACTTCTCCAATTCCCAAAGCATTGCTCTATTAATTCTTCATTTTATCACAGAAATAGTTCATCTCTTTACTACTGCAAAACAAAGTTACCTTAAACCTTGCTTGCAGTGGTTTGTGTTAAATATTTGGATTTCATAGGATTGCAGCTAATAAACAGCAACTTTAGCATGAAGAGGCCAAGCATCTAAATCCTGTAAGCTATGAAACAGGGCTCAAACTCAGAACCTTGCACATAAATGCTAGGCAAGCACTGTACTATGTCACCACGCCAGACTTTTTTAATGGGGTAGAAAAAAAATGGGTCTCAGAAGAACGTAGTGAGTTGTCATGCACATGAAGCAATGAACACAGCCCTTGTGCACATCTGAAGAAGGACTTTTTTGTTTCTCTAGCAGTTCGTGAGTTTGTTGCTTAGCCCAACCCTACTGTTACACTTGGTTTTTCAAGACCAACAAACAGTTTTATAGTTTTCTCAAAGTTTTTTTTTAATTAACTTACCTGGTTCTATATTTAGACTATACATGTACTAAATATCAATTAGGCATATAATTTTCTGAAGGGCAAAAAGTACATAATAAAAAGAAACTTGACTTTTAGGGTATTCTGTGGATCACCAAAAATGATTTCAGGAACTGTTATGAATTGCATAATTTAGGAAAGTTATGAGTCACATGAGCTTAGTCATGATATCATAGCAAAGTTGCAGCTGGGGTGTATAAGTCTCACTTTGATTACAAAACTGCTTTTCCTTTGTGTTACTTTTAGTAAAAGAGGATGTAGTGGGTGGAAGGGAAAGAAAGTAGGTCACAGATTTTGTCTGAAATCTTTTGAAATTTACCTTGAGGTTATGAGCACCACACATACACACAACAGTGTCTGCCATAAACACGTCCTAATGCACTGCATGCTGCTTTAGACGTATCTGTTTAGGTCTCAGCTTACAGTGCTGAGAATCAACCTAGAAATAATGTACTCTTCCTCTACACTGTATGAGTCCCTAGGATTCACACTTTTCTCCACCTGTGGACAGAATGATAACAAGCTGTGTTGGAATGGTGCAAAAATCACTTTACTGTCACAAATCCAAGTTTATTCTCACTAGCATCCTTAAAAGGAAGCATGTCCTTATGCTCTGCTATCCATCTTGAAATTTTTCTTTCAGTTTGTATCAACTTAAATTTCAGCACTTTCTAACTAGCTCCTTTGCAATTCTTTAATCACACTGTCACATATGTAATCCACTTTCAAAATGCAAACACACAGAAGAAAGTTATTTGGATAAGAACATATAATACATTCAATGTCTATACCAGTCAATTACATCCTCTGTTCAGTAAAAAGACGAAAACACAAGGTAGAAAAACAAACAAAACTAACACAAGCCAGCCTGGGAGTGCCGGTGCAAGGTCTTTAATCCAGCTATTGGGAGGCAGAAGCAAACAGATCTCTGTGAGTTCGAGGCCGGCCTGGTCTACATAGCGAGTTCCAGGACAACCAGAAAGACATAGTGAGACCCTGTCTCAAAATGACATAAAAAGCCAGGCACCGTCGCACATGCCTGCAGAGGCAGGTGGATCTCTGTGAGTTCGAGGCCAGCCAGGTCTACAAAGTGAGTCCAGGACAGCCAAGGCTACACAGAGAAATCCTGCCTGGAAAACATAAAACAAAACGCCATAAAGAAAACTCTCAATCTGAATAATAAAATACTATAATGACAAGATCATAACTTAATACAATGGGGAATACACTGTTTCACACTTTGTTATTGATTACCTGAAATGTCTCAGATGCAAGCTAAAGGATCACTTGCAAGCTAAAGGATCCTAAGATACCCGGTAAGCTGCCTATCACCAAAACTTCACACTCTCTAATGCATGGCTATCCTTATAAGCCGAGCTCTCTAAAAATCTAAGTAGGAACCCTCTGGTTTCTAGGCTGTTTAAACTGTTAAACTGTTTAAACGGGTCAGCGCTGGTAATTTGTTTAAAATCTGCAAGGAAGGCATTCAGCGTGGCAAGCCAAGTCAAGAGTTAGCTTAGGAAGTTTGAGCCTCGCTCTCTCCGTCAAGTGCTTAGAATGAGCTTGAAATCCAACTGCAGGATTCCAAATCCAGTCAGGAAAGCAAATGAAACTACTTCAGCCGGCGCCTTCCAACTAGACTACTGCTTAAGTACCTCCTCCATAAGAAATTCAAGTCAGCCTCTGAGAGCCAACAAGTGGTGTGGAACTTGGACCCTCCTTCCTCCCAGGGTCTTGCTTTTGTCAGCACCACCCAACACCTTAGATCCACTTGTTAGCAACGGATCTCGACCATCTCTCCCACTCCACACACGAACCTTCCACACGCCTGCACCTCTTTTCTAGACATCCCAGAAATGCAAACCCTGGCGAACTGACCCCTCACAGGCCCTCGGTCCCTACGGGAGAGCCCTCCAGGATGTCCCTCCTCACGGGAGAAGCAAGTCCATCTCTTTTCTCTCTCTAAACACCGAGAGCCACACCCCCCTTCCCACACGAAAACTCCGGAACGCGCCACTGTCGCCCAACACCCCGCCCCCAGCGCCCCCAGCGCCCCCAGCGCCCCTGCGCGTCCCTCCAAGCGCTCTGGGGCGAGCTAAGCCAATTTGTTCCCCGGGCTTTCCTCTCCCGGCTCTTACCAAGTCGCGGGTGGGAGCCAGACCCTGGCTCCTCCGGAGGTCGGGGTGCCAGGACGAAAGGCACCAAAGTGGTCAGGAAGAGGAGACGCCGCCTCATGTTCCCGTCCACCACCTCTCCAGGCAACCTTCCCCTAAAGAGCGTTCGGGAAACTGCTCACATTGGGAAGAGGAGGTGATCCTCCCAGCGCGGCCCTACAAACTTTTCCCTCCCGCGCCGCCTACAGGGAAGTCTTAAGAGCGAGGCTCAAAGCCCCGGAAGTGCAGGCGGCGCTCGAAGTCAGCCGCTCAGCCCGCTTCCGGCCGCAGTCGCCGACCCTCGGAGCTGCCCACAGCCGGAAGATGGGAGCCGCAGAGCATTGTGGGAGGCGTGGCGCGCCCCGCCCCGGCGCGGGCTTGACGCCATCTTGTGGGCTCTGTTCCTTCCTGGTCCCTCTGGGGCATGCCTGGCGCCTTGCTGGCCGTCAGCTCGCGGCGTCCTGACTCGACCCAGAACCGTCTGGTCTCTGTCCCCGGGTGACCGCGGGGAGGGAAGGTGGGAGCCGTTCGGCAGGCCCTCAAACCAGTGCAGCCTTCATAGCTGGTCTTTTCGCGGACAAGGTGGGAAGACCAGGTCTCAATTGTTACAGGAAATGTTCAGGGTACTGTACATAGGCCTCTGAATGTACATTTATTTCCTCCTTCGCAATCTCTGGGTACCGGAATCCTAATTGCTCACTCACCTGTGAAGAGGAGCGACCACCTACCCCTAACTCATAGTTGGTTACCCTTCTCGATCCCTTGAGTTTGGAATAGTTGTTTTTGCAGGTTTTTTTGTTTGTTTGTTTGTTTGTTTTTAGGTACTGTGTTTACTGTTTGTAATATTATTAGCCCTGGTCAAATTTCAAGTTGTCTTCCTGAAAAAGATAAACTGTGATTTAAATTTGTCTGTTGTAGAATGTCCCAGTTAAAATCTTACATCATTTCCAACAGTTTGTACATCTTTTGGCATGTTAGGTAAACCTAGTCTGTATGATGGCATACTAAATGAAAAAAAAAAAATTCACCTCCATAAATTAGATATCACAGCTATTTGTGGCGTTTTAATAATAGAAATGTTACAGTATTTCTTCTTTTGAGTGTCCAGGCCCCATATCCTCAAGTTTCTAACTTTAGAGACTGTATATTTTTGTGTCCCCTAACTCTTGTGCAATCAGCTATGTTTAGTAAATGCTAGTATTGTGGTTCTCAACCTTCCTAATGCTGTGACCCTTTAATACAGTGCCTCGTGATGACCCCCACCATAAAATTATTTCATCGCTACTTATAACTTTTACTACTGTTATGAATTGTAAATATCTAAACTGCAGGATACCTGTGATGCTACCCCTCCCAAAGGGGTCAAGACTGGCAGGTTGAGAACCTCTGTGCTAGTTTTGGGATCGCACCTGATCCACTTCATCAAAACAAAAAGCTCAAAGTTTTCAGGGTTAGTCCTGTTTCACGTAATCTTTGCCATTCATAGGTCAGGACTCAAATTACGATTCCTATTTGAAGTTCATCCTTGATTTAGCAGTAGTCCATACCTTTAAGATGAAAGAGCAGCTCGTGCAGGAGGTGAAGGGCCACGAGACACCACAGAGGGCCATGCTGGATAAAACACCGGAACAGCAGAATTGGCACATTGAGCTTGGTGTGGCAGCCCGTGCCGGTCATCCCAGCACTAAGAGGCTGACACAGAACAACTGACAGTGCTGTGTGGAGAAGCACTCAGAGTCGAAAACTGACAGTCCAAGTCTGATCTTCAAGGGCTTATTCTTTGGGGATTTGTTTGCTTTCAGCGGCGGGGAAAGGTTGCTTGGTGTGCTTTTTGAACTAGGCTCATTTTGTAACCCCATTCAGGTATTCCTGGTGCAGCCTCCCAAGCGCTGGGATAATAGGGAATGAGCCATCACATTTGGCTTCCAGCTTTTGTTCTTTTACTCTCAAAATATATATATTTTTTAGAAATATGTTCCCCCTAGGTAACTTTCATTTTATATCTATAACTGGCTGCGAAGTTTGAAATTTCCATCGTAAACATAGGTTCACTTAACTGTGAGGTCATCCTTTTACTGTCTGCCAGTAAGAAATAAAGACCTTCAAAGTCACAGCAGTGTTGGACCCTTCCCCACAATCCATCGGTCCTTTTTATAGTCTGCCTCCTTCCCCACTGGGCTCCTTCCACGGTTGGTCTGTGTGACATAGGGCATACACATGCAGTAGAAATCATGGCATTTCACTTCCAAAATTAGGTTTTTACACCCTGCCATATCAGGTTCGCTTTATTCTGATTGTTGTTTTAACAGTCTTCTTATACAGCCTGAGGTGGCCTCAAAACTAAGATTCCTCTGTCTCAGCCAATATTAATGCTCCAAGAGCGTGGGATACGCAGAGGAGTAGATAGGCACACAAACCACCAACCAAAGACTTGAGATTGGCAAGGATTCTACAGCTGCAGCAAACTTCTGAAATCATTGCAGCCCCACCTGATCCTCAGAAACAAGAAATGTGGAGAGAGCTCCACAGTTAAGAGCATTCACATGGTAGCTCACAGTCATCTGTAACTCCAGCCCAGGGAATCCGAGGCCCTCTTCTCATGCCCAGACAGCAAGCAGTTAAAACACCCATAAAAATAAATGTTAAAAAGGTTTGCTAGTTTATTATCCTAGTTAGGGACAATTTGCTCTACAGCCATTACCATGGTGTCTTGATCTGGGTTCATCTTAACATCTGAACTTTTTTTAGATTTAATGAAGTTGGAAGTGCTTTAATCCCAGCACTCAGGGGGCAGAGATAGGCAGATCCCTGAGTTTGAGGCAGCCTTTTCTACACAGAAAAACCTTGACTCAAAAAAAAAAGTGAGATTTATTGATCCCACTCTGAAATGAATTATTCAGTAATAGACGCAAGTCAATTTAAGTAGTACTTGTTAGAAATCACTTATGTGGTTCTGCACTACTGATAAAAAAAAAAAAATCTAAATGAACAGAGAAATAGGCCTGAGAACTTAGCTCAGAGCTACATTTAATAACCACCCCTGTGGTGAAACCTATAATCCAGCACTTAGGAAGTGAGATCAGGAGAATCGGTTCAAGGTCATGCTTGGCTACAGGGGACGTTTGAGGCTATCTGTAAATTTTAAGTGTGATTCTAATGCCCGTTCAGTTCCCAGATAATGACATGGAGACCTGTTATATTTATTAATAAGCTTTAGGTACTGTAGGTAGGCAGACATTCATCTATATTAATCCACCGACACTGTCCCAGCCTACTTCCCAGCTATGTGCCCTGTTACCTGCCAACTAATCCCACACTGGCTGCTGCTGCTCCATCCGTGTTCTCATGGTGACTCCCTTCTGGACCCTCCTTTCTCCTCCTGGGATTCCAAGTCCTACCTCAACTCTCCTGCCCAGCTATAGGTTGTTCAGCTCTTTATTAACTAGTCAGAGATGATGGAGAACGATTTTTACACCACAATGAGACAGGAGATCTTCAATAATAATGATGATGGCATGTCCAGACTTCAGCCAGATCTCTGGGTACAGAAATCAGCATTTGAATACACAGTGCACAGAACCATCCCCCAATAGCTACCCTGGACAACATGAGACCCTAAGTCCAAGAAGAAAAAAAAAAAAAACTAGAAAGATAGCTGTATAACATTTGTGTATACACATGATGCATGCATGTGGAAATCAGAACTGCAGTGCTCTTCATGGCTCCAGGGACTGACCTAACTGGGATAGGAAGGAATAAAAAATGGCAGACACAAAATGCTGGGGTTCCTGATGAAGGCACAGCCCCACAGGGCACAGTGTCTTTATTACATACATGTGAAGAAAGAGGCAGGCTTGCTTAATCTCAGTTGGAACAATCTTGGTAAGGGTACTATAAACATTTGGAAGCAGAAGGAGGGCCACTGCTCCATATACTGCCAATATATGCACTCAGACCCGAGGGAAGATACTGCTGTCCTGGCCTTTCCCACTTAAATGAGGTAAAAGCAATGAGGTCCTTGATATGGCCAGGCCTATACCAACACCACACTCAAGATGTGACTTGGGAGGAGTAGGTGTTCTCCTTCCACCAATATGGGTCATAAGGATCAAACTCAAGTAGTCAGGCTTGACAGCAAGCCATGATATCTACCACTCACTGTAACACCACGAAGTCCCACTTACTTGTCTTGCCCTACCTGTCATAGAGCCCATACTATTTCTAAGATGCTAATTATTCCTTAACTTGGATGCCTGTTTGTTTGTTGTCTGCTGAATAAAGATGGTACAGCTAGCCCTTCAAGAAATAGGAATTCTCATGCTTGGGCATGGTGGTGCACATGGTCCCAGCACTCGGGAGGCAGAGGCAGTTGGATTTCTGTGAGTTCGAGGCCAACATGGTCTACAAAAGGAGTTCAAGGACAGCCAAAGCTATACAGAGAAACCCTGTCTCAATGAAAGAAAGAAAAGGACATATGACTTGATGGGGCTGGAGAGAAGCTTCAAGTGGTTAAGAGCTCTGTAAGAGCACATGCTTCTCTTCCAGAGGACCCAAGTTCAATTTCCAGCTCCCACATGGCGGCTCACAACTGTAACTCTTATTCCAGAGAAACTGACACTCTCACACAGGCAGGCAATATACATAAAAAATTATTTTAAAGAAGAAATATGGGGGCTAGAAAGATGGCTCAGAGGTTAAGAGTACTGGCTGTTCTTTCAAAGGTCCTGAGTTCAATTCACAGCAACCACATGGTGGCTCACAACCATTTATAATGAGATCTGGTACCCTCTTCTGGCCTGCAGGCAGAATACTGTATAAAAAATAAATAGAGCTTTCAAAAAGCAATAAGAATTCTTAAATCTCATAAAAGGATGCTACTTAAATATGACCATACAAAATGCATGTATCAACTCATTTCCAAGGCTTTAGTTCAGACAGTTCATATGTAACCGTAAAATCCCTTTAGGAAGAAAATGGAAAACAAACATGGTACAAAACTGTTGAATGAGCCTGACTGATGAACACATTATCCTTTGGGAAATTTTTTTGAGTCACGGTCTCATTTTCCTAGGCTAGCCCTGAAACTGTTCTTGCCTCTGCCTGCTGAGTAGTAGGGTTACAGGTGTGGTGTGTGCAATGCCCAATGTATGTGATGTGGGGTTTGAACCAGAGATCCATGCATGCTAGGCAAGCACTCTACCCATGGAGAGACATCCCAGCC